CTCACCACTGTCATATACCTCAGCGTTCTTTGGATAGCCGGCTCAACGGTGCTCAGGTACACATCACTTATTTAAAGTCATTTAGTCGAACTTAATAATCGAATACTATTATTGATTTGCGAGTATCGCTTTGACGAATTCTTGTAAAAAAACTGATTGGTACTCTAATATGCACGCCTTATGGAAAGCATGATCAACTGTCAGTGATGAACGATTCCACTCGAGATAGTCAGTAGTCATGGCCTCTTCGAGGCACGCTATAATCATTGGTGACCTCATCGCTCAGGTCGGCGCCAATCATAAAAACTGGCCCCACGTGCTTCTTCGGCATTCCAACAGTGTTGTGAATAACGACGAGCAACGCTTGGTATATCTCGGCATTACGAAACACCTCTTCATGATTGTGACGGTGTTTCCGCATCGTTGAGCCCAGCAGCAGACGTGGGTGACGCCCAGGAGGTCGTTCCAGAAGTAAAATCATTAGGTGCTGATCGTCAAAAATGACGAAACGCCTTCGAAACTGACCACTTCCTAGCGCTTATAAAACTTCACCATGGTCTGGTAATAACTGGAAAAAATTCAGGGAAGAGGGCACGCACGCTTTGATGCAGAGAAGGTGAAGGATCCTGTCACTCACGAGGAGTTGCAGATAAAAATCAACAACAGAATTGCTGCTATTTGTGGTTTCCAAATCTTCCAAGATCCGGAGCTGCTGTATCGTGCCCTAGAGATATCATCTTCGACGCCATTGTCAAGGCTATTGGCTTCAGCAGCGGTAAGACAATGCAGCCTTAGGTCACAACAGACATACAAAATTTTCTCCAAGAAGAAACGCAGCCAAGCAGGTGTCATCACACGAGCCTGACGAGATGAATACGGGAATTTATCATTTTGTCATGGTAGCAACCACAGAAGTCACCTCAAGGACAGACAGCGATGACTACAGCTGGAAGCACTGAAGTTGGAGAACGAGGCGGCGAAAGAGGATGTAATATGCTGGACAGAGAGGCGAATACCATCACCAAAGGCCGAATGAGTCGCTGCAAAACCCTGGTAACCTTCGTAGAGCTGTAGAATACGTCTGCTCCTGCGATGGCTATTGAACTGGACGAGGGCAGTAGAGAAGGTCTGGATGCAAACTGTGCCCAAACATCGATCGAAGAAATTCAGGAAGCGATGCGCATTTGTCGAAGCATGAAGTTCTACGAGCATGACGGGATTGGTGAGAGATCATGAAGTGTGTCTGCTAAACCATCTCAGATGGATACACATGGATTTTGGCAGCACTTGGCGACTGCTAGTAATTCTCGAAGACTGAAAAAGCATGCTCAAACTCATTTTTAAACTGGGAGTGGCTCTGATGACACAAACTATTGAGGAATGCCCTTCTTCCTTTGCCTAAAAAAGAACACCTAAAGAGATTATTGATGATTCGATGCGAACAAAGCATGCTGGATTTTGGAGCGATATTTGTATTAAAACAATATTTTTTCGCTATGAGGAACAATCGAGCAGCAGGAGATTTTAATTGCCCTAGGCGTCGACGTTTCTCGACTTCCACACAAGCATGGACTCAGTTCATTGTCGGACAATTTGGCGTATCTGTGGATCTCATAGTGGACGTAGACCTGTTTTGACGCCTTCACGAAAGGACAAATTGCGAAGGATCATTGCCGGATTGGTTCAAATGTTGTAAATGGACTTCATTAAGTTGTGATGTTCATTTAATATTTCACAATGTGGAGGGCTATATTATGCCGTGGAGCGTCGACCGAACTTTTAACGAGTAACTAACCTTAAATCGTAGATGGAACTCAATATATTCGGTATATACTCAATTCTTAGCGGACCTTGAGAAGGCCGATGGTGTGCTGCTAGACGACTTCAAAAAGTGGCCTACTCACATTCACCAAAAGTGTTCCTGACACTGCTTCGGGGGTGGGCTACAAATCAAAAGCTGAAATTATGAGGGCACTCACTGCGACTTACAGCCCGAGGATACAGTAGTAGTAGCGAAGGCATTACGGCAGTGGAGTTAAAATATTTCAAGTACCTCGAAACTGTTTTGACTAACAGCGGCAAAAGTCACCCTGGAATGAGTCAGAACATCAAACTGGCATCAGCATGTTATGCAAACTGTATGACATATAGAAGAATCACATATAAGCAACAACGCGACGATCACCATTCTAAAAACAGTCGTTTTTGAGGTCTTCATGCGCAGTCTCAAAACACGTGTAATCATGAAGTGATATGTAGCTCATTCAGACAGCTTCCAACAGTTCTGACTGAACGGTATTTTCATGCAACCGTGCATCACCGGGTCGTTAACAAGCAAGTGCTGACGACAGTCGGCATCGGCAAACCATCAGATGAGCTTAGGAGGTAACGCCTTATTTGGGTTAATAAAATGTCTATTAAAAACATTGGAATAGTAATAACATATTCAAACATTTCATTGCTTACGAACACCCTATGAACCACCGTACGCGGGGGGCAACGATACAGAATGTGGAAATATATC